AATAGAATTGTACAGCACTTGCTGAGGCATTACGTCAAGCCCAACCAGGATGACTGGGATGAGCAGTTACCTCTCATTGCCAGCCTGTACAACAATGTTATACGTAGCAGTATCGGCGTTAGTCCTAACCAGCTGCACTTAGGATGGAAGCCTAGATCAGCATTAGACTTCCTCCTACCTAAAAACCGACCCGCTGCAGCTCGAGGCACACTTGAATACGGTGTGCAATATGAGAAGTTGCTGCAAAATGTTGTTGAACATATGAAGAAAGCTCAGCAAGCTATGATTGCTTCTGAGAATCAACATCGCAGACAGTCCACATTTCAGGTACGGGTACGTGTCTAGGTCAAGGCTAGTGAGTTAGGACAGGARTTCRGAATATCTCGSAAACTAATGCCKCAGTACTTTGSTCCCTGGGAARTCTTGGATGTAGTGGGAGATGAGTTGGATGGTCCCACATATGTCATTCGTGTCCATGGACACCTACGCACTCACCCAGTCTTTCATGCCTCAAAGCTTGCACCTTTCGCTGAGACTGATCAATTCCCTTCCAGGAGATCGATGCTGCCCCCAAACCATGGATAGACAAGTCGACATCGACGATATAGTGGAACACAGGGATATGCCTGTCGAGGAAGGCCTCCTAAACCCAAGAGAGAGTACCGGATCAGATTCAGGCATCTTACGGATCCAAAAGAAGATCGGTGGTTCACACGAGAGGAACTGATGGAAACAGCTCCTCAGGTGGTGGCAGACTATGAACGGAAGCTAAAAGGGAAGGCACCTGCGAAGTAAGCATCTCAGCGGACTTTCGAAGCTAGGGGGGATGGAATGTGAGGAATGAGCCCTCAAGAAGGGGCCTTGCCATGATGTACATGTTCTGGGCTAAGGCCCCAGCAAGCCTCGTGCCGGCCCTAAGTGAAGGTGGGCCAGCAAATCAACAATAGCCCTCTATGCATACATTTCACGAAGTAGGGTCCTTACAGTTGCAGCACGCCAGTTGGTTGGAGTGCACCGAGTTTCGGATCTCAGCAAATGCTGAAATGCCCAGGCCCTCTGAGTTAGTTAGGCCCTGGGCTCCTGAACGTGAGGCCGACAATGCACGTTGGGTAAAGAGGCCGAAAATGCAAAGGGAAACCGGCCCACTATCTGAATCTGGGCGCAAGCCTTGATGAGAGAGGCACAACTGCATCTCCCGGGGCCCAACCGCATCGGGCTGAGTTCAGCCTCTGGGCCCCGGTCACAGGCTGAAGGGAGGCCGCCCACACGCTGAACTGGCATATAGGCAAGCAGGGCGAGTGGGCAGGGATCTTGGCCAACGCTGGCACTTGCGGGCACGCTGCGCAGATGCATGTGTGCTGCGCTGTGCAAGGCAGTGCTGCGCTAAGAGCAAGCAGGCCAGCGCTAGGCGGTAGGGGGCTGCCTGCATGCAAGGCGCTTGGCGGCCATAGCCGGGCTGCAGAGGGCGCAGACTCCGCAGAGGGGTAAAGGGCGAAGGTGGTACTTCGGAGGTGAAGGGCGCTGTGTGGGTACAAGRGAGAGTGTGGGGAAGAGGACACGTACCTCGTGATGGTGGAGTACGGCATTGGTGTTGACATCATCACTCGCTGGTAGTCAAGTTGTCTGGTTGGTGTTCATTGCTGTAGTTGTAGGATAGGCTGTAGAGTAGATAGGGYGCCTGGCGTCATTCACAAGAGAGAGCTACATTTGGGTTATGCTGTTGGTGCTGCCCTGTTGAGCATGGACATTGACTCACGATTCTTCTGTATCATTCTCAATTGGATGGTTACTCGGTTCCATGTGCTATCTGCTTTGGCTTTGAATACTTGGACTTCAGTGTGATTTTGCATTCTGGATTTCTGTGCTTCGTCCATACTCATGTTCCTTGCAATTTGGTATCAGAGCTGGTTTGATCGCCACTTACCTTTGGCACGCTGGCGTTATACAGACTTGGTGCGTTGATGATGCTTCTTCGCAGTGGGTACTTGTGACGTCAGGCTACACTAGGTGCACGCCCTGGGTAGAGAGGGGTGCACCGGAAAGCTATTGAGGGCATTATTAGCCATGGTGACAGGCAGAACGTTTGATTGATGATGAGAGCATGCTGATGTGTCATTGGACTAAGGTGGCACTGCATTGCGTTGTGGGTGGTACCGAGGTCATGACCGGTCATCAAATGCAACATCAGCTCAATTGGTGAGAAATCTGTGGTTGGGGGCAGCTATCTCCAGGTATGTTGATCCCTTACCTTATCTACCCTCTCAATCTCTTCTTACCGTGAGGAAGTGAGTCCAACTTTAGAGTCCTCTCNNNNGCATTCTGGATTTCTGTGCTTCGTCCATACTCATGTTCCTTGCAAAATGCTCATCGTGAGAAAAAAAGAAAAGAAAAAAAAAGGCATCAGAACTCTCTCTAAAAAAAAACAAAAACAAAAAAAAAGGCATCAGAAGTCTCTCGAAAATAAAAAGGTAAAAAAAAAAGGTTGTTGCAGTAGGGCTGGATATGCTCGTCTGGATTGGTACTTGTTTCTTTATTCTATGTTCTTTCCCCTTTTTGGTTTTGGTTGTTTGTGTTCTCTGGTGGCGCATGCATGCATTCTTGGGAAGTGTAGGCCACATACTACATGTGCACTGAGCGACTGTCGTCAACCAAATAGAACGCCCGGTCATTATAGCTGGTGGAACTTTCGGTGTTCATAGACCAATTATAATGACCGGACGTGGAACTTATGACCGTCAAGTTAGCATAAGAACTTATTCGGGCATGCTGACACGTTAACAGAAGAACTGAACTTCAAACATAAACTAATGCGGTTCAAGACGAGGCTTTCAAAGTGCCCTCTATCATGCTCCTAAGTTCTGGACTCTATCACCTACGTCGAACCCCTCCCCTTCTCCTTTCTCCCCATGTTTCTCTTCTCTTCCGTCTCTACCTTCCTTTCTCGTTTTCTTTATTCAGGTTTCTTCCATTCTTTCCTCTTGTCTTTTTCTCCTGAAATCTTCTATACCCTATTCCCAGGCGTGCCCATAAGTCCTTGTTAATATACTTGTACAAATGGAATGGACTGAGGTCATTTAATTTACATGAATGTTCTATTTTGTATCCTTTTGGCTATGAGTACGTCAGATTTTTGTCTTAATTTCAGTTGGTGCATTAAGGTATGCAATGGATCACTGCAAAAGGGATGTTATTGCTACTAGATGAAAGTGGAATGAATATAGCACATTCTGATGACTAGATACATAGTTCGGACTGATTTTTGCAGCAAGGTACACAGTTCAAGATGTCTACTGTGAGTGTGGCTGAAGTTCTACGAGAGTCTGGTAGTGTGCCAGAATGGATTCCCGAGTGTGAGCATACTCACACTAGGACTTCTTTCCCTTTTTTTGACGTAATTTGGGTCAGATACATCCAGCACGAACGGTAAATGCGGTCGGATACATTTAAGATAGAGCTAGTGTGAGTACGCCCTGTGAGGGATTAGACAATCTACCGTTTCTCATTTCCAATTTCTGTGTTTACAGAGCACACGCACGCCAGAACTTTCCTGCATGTATATGACTGAAACTACGGCTTCTGCTGCTTGCATCCGACCCCAATTAGGGCAAGAGAGGAGTCAAAGGAGTCCTAGTGTGAGCATGTCCCCGGAGTTTCACAAGAGCTGTGTTACCACGCAGTCATTGAATGCAGGTTTCGCGTTCAGTTTTTGAACGCGCTGAACTCGCGTTCACTCAACGCCGGTAAACACGATTGACGCGTTTGCGCAGGGGCATGCGCGGGGTGGGGGGCGGCCCCGCGGGGACTGGCGGCGGTGTTCGAAAGCCTGTGGTGGGGGTCCAGGCTCCAGCGTGCCCTAAAACAAAAAAAACAAAAAAAAGAAGAAAAAAAAAAAAAAAGAAGAAGAAAAAAAAAAAGGGTACTTGCCCGTGCGTCGCTTCGCTGGGCTACATAAGTAGCAGCACCGTTCGCACGGGGCTAACTTCCATGCTGCGCGTTCGAGCGGAGAGCGCTGCCAACTCCATTGCTACGGTCGGCATGCGTTCCACAAACGCGGAGAGGCAAAGGAGGGAGAGAGAGAGAGAGAGAGAGAGAGAGAGAGAGAGAGAGAGAGAGAGAGAGAGAGAGAGAGAGAGAGAGAGAGAGGACGCGGAGCGGCGAAGCGGAGCGGGGAGCGACGGCACAACCGAGAGGGCGACGGCGTCAGCGTCGGAACGGTCAGTGGCGGAGCACGTGCCAGCAATGGCGGTCGGCGGAACTAAAAATTGAACGCGCGTTCAATTGTTTTGAACGCGAGTTCCATTTCTGAACGTGTGTTCAAACGCGGGCGCAGGTTGTCCGCCCTGCTCTGTTCGGAGGGTGGTGGGAGCCCGGGGTGCTGTTTGTTGGAGACGTGCGGGATTTTGGACTTCGGGGGCCATACCATACCGCGACGCAACTGATCGGCGGGGATATCGGCGGGAACCGCAATGGGGCGGGGTCAGGCCCGCGTGTTTGAGGACGCGGGGGACGACGAGAACCTCAAGGCGCAGAAGAAGAGCTGCGTGTACAAGTATGTCCGATTGGGACAGGGTCTCGGCGACAGGTACCGCGGGAATCGGATGATGAAGTGCCTTTTTTGTGGGACGAGTTCCAGGGCAACCAGTTCGTGGCAGGCCGTCATTTTCAGCAGGGCAAGGGATGTCCCTCGGTGACCGACGAGGCGCTCGTCGACATACACTATAACACCGACTACAAGCTGGAGGGGTCGATCCTGGAGCGGATGCAGCGGTTTGAAGAGCTTCACGGTCTGGCGCCCGCGATGGATCCGTGGCGGGACGAGGGAGGGGCGACGAGGAGCGGATCGACGTGGACGACGTCGTCAAGGAGGTTGTGAGGGAGGGGCCACCAAGGAGGGACCTGGGGAAGGGGATTGTCACCGATCTGGGGGGGCAGCAAGGCCACTTTTTTAAGGATTCGCACGTGTCGGCTCGCACACGTGCAAACGTGGATACGAACGAGCCGGGTTCGTCCACAGGGAAGAGGAGGGAGAGAGAGGAGGGGGCGCGGCCGCAGGTGACTAAGAAGAGGCTTAGACAACAACCGATTACAAAGTCATTCTCTTCGCAGTGGCAGATGGAGTTTAGGAAGAGGTGGCTAAGGTTTGTGTACAGTCAGCGCCTGACGTTGAACATCTTCCCGAGCGAGCCATGGTTGGACGTCGTCCGACATTTCAGGGATTTGCCTGGGCCAGTGAAGGTTTTGTGGCCTTCACAGAACGAGATTGCGGACATAGAGACAGTTGTCCAGACGACGGACGATGTGGCGGCAGATCTTGCGGAGCTCAGGGCTCCATTTTATGTCACGGGGGCCACCATCATGTCAGACGGCAGGAAGTCACGCGATGCTAAACCCATCGTTAACTTCCTTGCCGGCAGGTCACGTGCGGTGATGCTGATTCGGACAATGAACAGGGAGGGTGAGTGGGACCGGGCGGAGGATGTGTTGGCGTGGTGGATCAAGGTGTTTGATGACTTCCCCCCGAAGTGGGTGAACGCTATGTGCACCGACTCTGTCTCGGCGTACGTTGGCGCGGCGGACATGCTCCAGGGGCCTGAGCAGAGGCCAGAGCATCGTTGGATCACGTGGCTCCCATGTGTAGTGCATGTCTACAACAAGATGTTGTCAGATATTGGCTGCTCGAGCGCGTGGTCCAAGGACATCATCATGCGGGTGAGAGCGGTGGTGCGCTTCATTAAGGAGCACGGCGCCGCTCTTTATATCTTCAGGAAGGAGAGTAGGCAAATGTGCCTCGTTTATCCGTGCGAGACACGATTCTCATCCGTGTTCTCGATGATTGAGCGTTTGCAGACAGTGAGGTCAGCATTGGAGAGGACTGTGGACGGCGATGGTTGGGGTATGGTCCCTTGAGACCATTCCGTTCGTTAGTTGGCTAGGTGGGTCAGGTGGCAGGTGCGACATGGCCCTTGGTGGGATTCCATGGCCGTTCTTTTCCGTATTATGGAGCCTGTGTACGACATGCTGCGGAGGTTGGAGGGCTGCACATGTCGCGGGTTATTCAGTGGACGCAGGATGTGACCCGCGAGGTGGCCAGGGAGGTTCGTGCACTTCAAGCGGATTCTGCACACTACATTGTGCAGAGGGTGCAGGCTCGATGCGCGCACATGTTGGAGCCGGCCCACGCCGCTGCTCACCTTCTTTGTCCCAGCCGGCGGGACTTGAGGTACTACGAGGGCGTGGTGAGCAGCTACGACGCGAGCTTGGTGAGGGAGGCAGAGGCTTACATCTTGTCGCAGATAGGGTTCAGTGTAGCGAGCCCCGAGTACGAGACTGCATGTGTGCAGCTGCGCGACTTCCACACACGAAGGGGGGGGATTGCGTGGGGAGGGAGGGACAGAGACAGAGAGGCACAGAGGTGCACCGGCGACGTGGAGACGTACGAGGCCGGGCGTTGGTGGTCGAAGTGGGGACAGTGCGCCCCGCAGTTGCAGGCCATTGCTCTTCTTGTTATGTACATGTGGACGTGCTCCTCTCCTGCGGAGAGAAATTCGGCCGTCCACGAGGGTGTAGAGACGAAGAAGCGTAACCGCCTCGAGTTTGAGAAGGTTTCGAAGTTGTTGAGATCTCAACCAACGTCCGCCTTCTCTCGCATCAGCGCGCAGGTCGTGGGTTTGCGACCGTGGACTATAGATGAGTCTATGTTGGATGTGGAGGGAGGCCTCGGGACTCACCCCTCCTGGAAGGGGACGGACGAGGGCAGGACGCAGGAGGACCTTGAGTCTCAGAGACGTTCATGGCAGCGAGACCCGTGCGGGTCGAGAGCTCCTCCGGGGGAGGTGGCAGATGTTTTTGGGACTCGAGCCGCCACATTGCACCCGTACCCTCGAGACGACAGTGATTCCGAGGGTCACGAGGACGAGGACGAGCGGGCGGGCCCCACCACCGCCGCTCATGCGGCACAGCAGAGTGATGAGTGGAGTGACCCGGAGGACTTCCGCAGACGGACTGACGGTGATGGCTTGTTCACAGGACTTGATTCGCAGGGCGAGGAGGAGTTAGGTGGTTCGTATGGGAGCCCTGTCGAGCGACAGAGGCCTTCGTCACATGGCCCGCGGGCCGCTAAGCGAGAGGGAGCTCCTGGATCTCCACCTTCGAGGGGGGCAGAGTCGGGTTGTGGTGGGGAGGTCCCTGGCGGGGGTCCTGCACATGTTGGTGGTGCCTTGCACAGACTGGTGAGGGGCCCGAGACAGTGATTGGTGGACAGATTAGCGGGCAGTCCTTCACAGGTCGAGGGGCGTGCGATAGATAAATAGGGGTTGTCTGCTGGAGACAGTGCTGTGTTGCCAGCAGGCGGAGGCGGTGGCGAGGATGCCGCGGTAGTTGAGGAGAATGAGCATGGGAGTGTTCGTGATGAGGGGATGTTGGCAGGCGGCGGAGGAGGTTTGAGCGAGTTTGAAATGTTTGGTGACCTGGGAGTTTCCCCGGGAGAGAGCAAGTCTTGAGGGGACATCATTGTGGGCATGCAGGTCGGATTGGGACAGATCAGCGCCCTGCACCCAGAGACTTTCACACCTGCCATGCACGACGCGTTGATGTCGCCACCGCTTGAGGCTGAGGGAGATGAGGATCGCACAYCTCCTGGAGAGACATCTAAGGAGAGGTTGGATAGGCTTGAGAGTCGTCGAGCATGCCTCATGGCACGAGCGGACCCCAGGACCCAGGAGTTGACCCGTGTTGTGGSTGAGGAGCGACATAGAGAATTGGGGACATTTCCGCCGGCRTCCCTTCACGTAGAGACAACTRCCCCCATGGATCCTCCRAAAGGGGATCACGATAGGACGCARGGGGAGGGAGCTTTGGCAGAGGCATCGAGCATGGGAGGGGATGATGAGCAGAGGGAGCCGCGCGAGAGGCACGAGACAGGGTTGGCATCGCTAGAGGACCGACCTTTGGTGCCTGACCAGACTCCCACCGACGAGCAAAGGCCCGAGGGGACGTTGCATGACGCTGCCGACGTGCCTCTGCCCGCGGCTTTGGATGAGGGAGCCATGCACATGCCCCCGGGTCTAGAGGACATATAGACAGGGCAGTCGGTGGGCATTGAAGTTGCTCGACCCTCTGTACAGGCAGAGGGCACAACACCGACCACTGGGTGGGAGGAGGACGTAGAGAGGGATGTCCATGCTAGTGGGGCGGGACGAGACCCCTCACAGGTCGATAGCGAGGTTATGCGTAGAGAGGCAGCGGGCACAACACGGGTCGACACAACGGGGGACGTCCATGCTACTAGTGGGGCACAGCACCGGGGGGGGGGGACGTAGCGGGGGACATCCACGCTAGTGGGGCGGGACGAGACCCCACACAGGTCGATAGCGATGTTATGCGCAGAGAGGACGTGTGAGACAGGCGTGACGGAGACAGAGAGGAGACACCGCAAACTTTGGTGGTCCTCACGGCAGCGGGCCCAGTGGTGCCACATTAGGCAACGTTTCTAGTGGATCCCGGGTGTCGTGCACACGGAGGTAGCCCGGTCGCAGAGCGACGAGTAGGCAGGGGCACGTGCGCACCTCCGGTCCCTACTTTTGCACCGTTACGGAAGAGGCCGGAGATTAGGTATGTGGCCACGCCTCACGGCAGCCTCCCTTTTGGATGTATGGCTGCTGAGGAGTTGGAGGCGCACGACGGGATGGATTTGACGAAGATCGATAGGCGGTGCTTCAGGAGGCCTCCGCAGGTGGCGCGTCTGCCTCACGTGCAGGACTTGTCTTGGGGGCCAGCTAGCCCTAGCTTACCTTCGGGAGGTTCTGTCGCGGTGCCGTCTCACGGCGCAACAGGGCCATCCTCACCAGCAAGCGTAGTTGCAAGAGACAGCGGCAGTCTCACCCCGAGGTTGGCTGCCCGTAGACGGAGAGACACTACCGACCATGCACGGGAGTCGCACAACACTATGTTGTTCGGTCGCACTGACAGGCCATGGAGTGAGACGAGACGGGTGACGACGACGAGTGCCAGTCGTCAACCAGGTTTGAGAGGGGTTTCCAGGAGCGGGGGTGGTCGAGATGTTGTGGCATCTGGGTTTGGCAGTAGAGGCGATGAGAGTGAATGCATGCATAGCAGACGCGAAGGCATAGACGGTGCCGCGCCGGGCGTGGTACATCCACCATTGACGTTTGGTTTGAGAGAGGCTTCGATGATTTTAGACGAGCCTGATGTTGTGACACGAGCGAGGCAGGCCCGACACGTGCCCCTAGATCGACGGCAGGAGGGGGAGACATCAGGGACAAATGGTCTACCTATGCATCATGAGTCCCGCCGACGTGCTGATCTTGCGGACGCATTTATCCCCCGGATAGCCAGAGGCAGGAGAGTTATTATGGACGATGACGACGGCAAACCTCCTGAGCTTATCACAGCTGGACGCGGCGGGCATCGTCAGAGAGGGCGAGGACGTGGCACTGGCGGGTCACACGGACGAGGTTCTCATGGGTCTTGGCGGGCTTCGCGCGCAGACGACGATCGTTGATGGTGCACGGAGTTGCATTTTGTTGCCTTTCTTCGACGGAGGAGCATTTTTGTTATCCATGACAGACAATGTTTTTTTTATGTTGTATTCTAGTTCGCTTAACAGTCGTCAATTTTTTTTTGCAGTTCACACATGGTTTCATGATGTTGTATTGTAGTTTGCTTTGTAGTCGGTTGTTTTTCTGGGCATTTCACATATGTTTTCCTTCGGTACCTTTGGGATTGTATCTTTGTAGTGTATCGTGTGTTCTACTTTTTAGTCGACAGTTTTGAGTCGGTGCTTCTTTCGATGGAGTGGTGGGTCTTTGACACGACATGTCAGATTTATGCTATTATYCATGCTATATTGGTTTGTGTTCTGCTTCGATTATGTCTTCACGTTTGCAATGTTTCTGTTTTTTTGACGATGAGTGTTGTGTGTGCAATGGTGCAGGGTGGTGTTGCCGGGCTGTGGGTGCATGTGGAGGGTGGTATCGATGGTCTTTTG